CAAAACTTACCAGCAAATCCCCACTTTCTATCTCCTGCTCGTCGACTAAGTTAATGAATTCATAGGAATTATCGGCAGAAACCGTCCACGTCACGGAGATTTGCTTTAGCTGGTTACAAATAAATTTTGATGTTTTATGCATCACGCTTTCCTTATTATTCACAATAATTCTAAGTGGCACTCCATCTTTATGTATTTTTGGCAGACCATATTCATTCGGAAGCCTAGAATCTCGTTGAAAAAGCTTGTTTATCTTCCACTTCTCCAGTTCCCAGTTTCTTACACAATGCTGCATGCAAACCCTGAGTCTAGACTTAAGGTTTTCCGTAGTGCCCCTACTGATTACCTTGTATGTGGTAGTGTCATCTAAAGCCTGCATCATTTTTTTCATATAGCTAACCTTATTCATGATGGCTACTGCTTTAATACAAAGTGGACGCTATAAGGCTCCAAGATGATGCCCCCATGGTGCGAGCGAAACGTCTGGGAATGTACCAAGTTCACGCTCCGCCACTGGGAATAATCGTGGATAATATGGCAAAGGAGTCACTTAGGCGTCTCAGGCACTATAACCGAGTTAAGAAAAAGGGGTCATACTACTTATATTGTTATCAATAGTCTGTCTTGGTCAAACGACGAATGTCGCATGCCAACAATTGGTCTAGCCGATCAGTCAGGGAGACACATGATTATTCATTTAACGGATATCTTTCCTTAGCCCTAATTGAAGCCTGTCAAAAACTAGTTTATCGCCTTCATTTTGAAAGGAGGAAAGCTTAATTTTAATAAGCGCTTGGCATTTTGATCACGTTGTGCAAGGAGATTCATGACTTGATGTAAGTTTAAAGTTGAATTTGTTTCTACCCATTTGCTGGGAATATTTCATACAAATTAAAAAAAACTTTATAGATAAGAAGAGTAGTCACCCTAAATCACAAAAGGTGATGAATGACTGACAGATTAACTGTCCCAAAATGAAATAATAAGACCTCAAGCTAACATTCAATTTCTCCTAGCCTTGCTGACTAAAAACTTCTCTCATTTAAGGTGGACTGCAGTTTTTAATAGGCCCTCCCGACGGGATTTGAGAACTGTCAATTGCTTTCCCATATCACGTTTTAGTAGGATTTTTAGTCTATCTATAATGCGAACTAGGGTAAGTAAAGTTCATATTCAAGGTCTAGTGATAGTATTGAAAGCCGCTCATTATGACTATTAAAAACGTAGACGATTGTAATGGCTATCACAGGTTGCTTGTTGATAATCAACTGATCGTGTGACTTACCCATATTTATAGCTCCATCTCTAATACTCATTATGAGTATACATTTTGTAATGTATTTTAGGCAACTTTTCGTGTCATTTTGGTGAATGATGATTAAAAGTGCTGGACTTCTTTACTGAATTTTCCGCCTAAAAGAGACTGAAGAGAGCAAAAATATTGCATTCTTTTAATCCACCAAAATACAACCACAATCCAGATCATCATTCTCTTCTTTGGATGTTATGTACCCCCTCCCAAAGTCATAGGGTGAGATAGTCTCCAATTTTTTTCTTGACTTTTACTTTTTTCAACTTGCTCTTAATCTATTCGATGGTTACCTGGAAACAGATACTAATTCTTTCCATTTATCGCGGCCTAAACACGGTTTATGTTGACGTAGTTAGAATGCACCACCTCGTCTCAGGTACCTTATTTGACGCGAAACAAACACTTTTGGAGTAGCATTCTTGCAGTGCCTAAGTGGCCACATGAAAGAAAAACGGCAATTCATCCCAGGCCTAACAAATAAAAGCTACTAGTTGTCTTTCATTCTCACTCTCGCTCTATCTCTTTTCTCTATGCATTATGAAGGCGCTGCTGGTATTTACAGGCAGGGGGAATCTTTATCAGCGATTTTTCTCCCGTTGCACCAGCCTCCAGCTGGTCCATAAGGCTACGAGGGAGGCGAATGTGTCCGACGATGTAGAGCGGAATTTTATTCTCCGTGCATGTGCTTTGGCAAGCCACACGGCGGCAGCAAAAGTGAACCCACGTTCGGCTCTGCATCGCTCCAAGAACATACTTGATTGGGACAATGCAAATGTGCCTTATCGGATAGGGAACGAGGTCTTACCCAAATAAGTTGGATCCTGTAAAGCGCAGAGAGGCACCGCGGATCGTAAACTGCGTCCGCTTAGTTTGTAGCCAAACATCGGCAAAAATTGCCCCTCTACAGAGACCTTCATAGTCAAGTGGACCATTAGTCTCCATGTCGACTTAGGTGGCTTCATTCCTTAAACATTTTAATCTTCATCCCTTCTTTCATGTCACTTTTTATGCGTGACTTTACTGTTTTCAGCTTCCTCTAACTCATCCGCTATGCTGCTCCTTGTTCCGTTAGAAAAGAGGTTGTGCTGCTTTCGCGAAAGCACATGCGAGAGGTTGTTGATGTATGTCTCGAATGGAAGACTGAGGGATGATGATTTGATCACCAAAGTGCTTCTCAAAATGTTGTTTGCATTCTCTATATTTATTTAAACAACGAAGTTATGACCACCTATTTGAGATTAATGTCCCCGGTTACTTATCTAAGACGATATTTATCTCATGAGCAGAGCAAATTTCTTGGAAATGGATGTAATAAAATTGTGAGCTGCTTCTCCTGTTTGTACTCTTTTGGGTTTCATCCAGCTCAGGCTAACATGCCTTAGATCCTCTCGAAGCAAAGACTTTTAGCCAGGAATATTCGAATGACTTTCAACAAGAGCAGCATCAGTTTTGCCACATTAAACGACCGCCGGATCAGATTTTCAAAAGGTAAAGTAGGCGTTTTCGAGGTCCTATGACCTTCTTCTCTCCAAACCATTGCTAGACAATAGAAGAGAGATATTGGTCAACCAACTTCCATCTAGATCTTGTGTTCTAGTAATGTTCTGACTGAACATTAACTCCTTGCTTACTCCTTTCGCCCGGGTGCGTCTATAAACAAAGCTACTTTAGTATCCGTAAACCATCTTTATAATTACTAGCTGAGCCAGATCAGTTTGCCATAAATGGTGGACTATGGTTCTTTACTGTCGAAAAGAGGGTAGAGTAGGTTCACTATTTTTCCAGGAACTTCCCACCGACAAATGTTACATGAAGGTGCATTCAATTCATAGGTTTGATTCATGGTGGATAGACGAGTAAATTGGCTCTAGTTCCAGGAGTTTGCATTTTTATTAAGTCAGGCTTTATTTTTTGTAATTAGGTCGAGAAATAGTTACTGGCATTCCAATCTGAATATTTATTTTAACCCCTAAATTAAACTCCTCCTAGCAACATCATATTTGAACCATTCCTCCATGGTAACTGGGTCCTCTCATTTGAATCTTCAGGTTTTCTAGGCGCGATTAAATACAATTTGTTCAATTTCAGTGAAATCGGTTCCAGGTCTGAAAACTGTCTAACAATTTAGTGAGCTTATTTCCATTTCGAGTGAAAGTGTTTGGTGAAGATATTCGAAGGTCGGTTCCAA